CCGTGTCATCAAAATTACTTACATTTATTAGTTTACTGAAGGGCAGCCAGTACTAAGTTAGAATGAAGATTGTGGCATGGGCACAAGCTAGAGATATGAGAATCAGATACCCTGGACAACATATTTATTCTTCCTCTCCACTTCATTTATTGTGGATGGGTATGATGATGCCTACCTTGCTGAGCTGATACAGAAATTTAGTGAGCTAAAGAATGTGAAGAGTCTGGCAGATCACCTAGCTCAGTGTCAATAGTAATAAATGGAGGCAGTCAGCACAGCATCAGGTTGAAGTACATTAATGGATTCTGGCCTTAGATAGCTTAGGTGTGGATCTTGACTCACATTTGTGGTAGTTCTGTGATCTTGCATACATTAATCTGATATCTCTAAGTTTCAGTTTCCTCAACTATAACGGGTTGTGGTAAGGACTGAAGGAGATAACATGAGCAATATGCTCAGCATGATGCCCAACACAAAGTAAGTGCTCAGTGAATTAGCATTTTTATTAGTATGTGTCTGAGAGAGTTAATACTTTCCGAAGTTGGAGAGGCTATCTCTTAATATCAGAGCAGCAAAAATAATTGTCTCTTTGGTAAAAGAATAAAATCGTGTCCTTACATGGAATGCTGTCTGATATCAGCAAATATAGCAAAATGCCTGAAATAGCCTTTTCAGAAAAAAATAGAACACAAAGAGGTATAACTTTCTGAAAATGTGTTAACTCAGGTAGCAAAGTTATGGATTAAATTAGTAAAGTATCTTCTCGAGCTCCCTTTCTTCATCTGTAGTTCTGGAAAAATTGAATATAATTCCAAATAGTTTAGAAAAATTGAATATAATTCCAAATAGTTTAGATATAGTAAAAAGAAAGCTTCCTAAATGTCTTATTATAAATCAAGAACATGTTAAAGTTGCATGAGAAGTCAGAGGCAGAATATTAACTGTTTTTACCATAAGGAAGCAAAACTCTTGAGTAATGCCTAATATGCCTTCTGCAATTAAGCTTCAGTCCTCTAAGATGGTAATCAATTCAGCAGCTAGTCCATTCAAATGAGGCTGCAGGAGAGGGAATGAAGCCAGCAGTAAGTGAATTCTGAGATGTTATGTGATGGGGCGAAGAATCGCTGACCATAACATAATGAGGCACATAAAAAAAGAAGACTGAGTCAAGAGAAAGAAACACCGCACCTAAGCTACTAAATACAATTAGAAATATGGTAGGATTTTGTCTATTTGCATCTTTTCATCCAGGATTGAAAGTCATAACAACATTCGAAAATCTCATTAATAAGGAAGGGCTCATTGCGTGACCTGTGTGCCTCTTCCAAATACTTGTTCCTTGGACCCCTTTCATTGTTACTGGAGACCTTGGTATTATTCTTGGCCTCTGCTAAGAGTGGGTGAATGGTTGTGAGGGCTCTGAGTGAGGTAAGGAATTACCCTGGAAGAGCTGGGTGAGCAGACAGGGTAAAATTCCAGACCCTTAGTATTAATAACCTGTCTTCTACACCATGAACATTTTTTATAGTAACATCTACCATTTTCAAAAGAATGCCATATTTTAAATCACCATTATTACTGGATAAATTATAACACTACATTACTACTCAAGTTTTTCATTCCAGCACTTGGAGAAAAAGCAGTGGAAAATGTGATTTATTCAATAGTATAACATCATTATCCAATAATCATAAAAAATTTATAATAATGTGTAAATATAAATTATTTTAAATTATATCTTCTTTTGTAATTTATGTAAGTCAAATTATCTGCTTTATTTCTTCCATAAGTGAGACTGTAACCAGAAAGTTAGAACAAAAATTAAACCAGGAACTTCATTGCTCTATTTCTTCTACTTTCCTCTTATGACACTGTGGCAAATTAAGAATATGAATTTTAACATAAGATTGAACTGGACTGAGCCTCAGCTTTGTTACTTAACTTTCTAGCCATTTGTCCTTAGTCACTTTATTTCTTCTACCTTTGGTTTTTCTGTTTGTAAAAGAGGGATAATTATGACTGCCCTACAGAGTCGTTGTAAAGATAATTTTGATTCTGTATGCAGTGTTTGCTACAGTGGTTTCAGGTAGTAAATACTCAAAATATGGTAGTTGTTACCATTCTGGAGTTCACATCGAACCCTCATGAAATAGCTATGTGTACAAGCAGAACTCGCCCATGTAATTTAGACATATAAAAGGTCTTTTATCAGTTATTTCCTTTTATACATAAAGGAACCAGAGTTTGGACCAAGAAACTCAGATAGCATTCAACATCACTGGTATTAGCTGCTAGAGATAAAGCCAAGAAGCAAAGTGTTTAATTGCTTGTCTAGCTTACACCTTTTATAGTTCTTCTGTAATGGCCAAAGAGGAGAGGATGGAGATCATTTTAAAATGAGAAGGCACGTATGCTTAGAGTCAGGTTCAAGGTAGCTTTGGATATAGAAAGTTTCAGAGAAATGGCACATCTTGTAGATATAAATGCATAGACAAGGGATCAATAAAAAGCTTCAGCTTCTTTTGTTTTGGGGCAGTGACCCTAGAAATGAAGGGAATGAGAATTCTCAGAAAGAAGAACCTTAGCACATAGACCTGGGATGAGAGAAAAGTATTTTTCTAAGGTATTAACACACAGCTCCTTGGTTTACTCAGTAAACATCAGTGACATGTGGTAGCCTCATTCTTTTCAGTGGGTGGAACAATGCTGAAGAAGGCAAATGAAGCTCATGATAGACTATCCAAATTCCTGATGTCATAAGAGCCCAAATACTATGTAAAATTCCACCAGAATTAGAATTTATTTCCATAAGGTTATATGGCATGGCATATGTCTAAAATTATGAGAGCATTTTTTTTTTTTTTTTGACTTAAGGAATCCTTCCTAGATGAGCGACAGCACCCTTTAAAATACAGTTATGGAGAGATGACTTCAGTGACTTGGCAAAACCTCAAAAGACTAATGCAATGCAATTTGAGAATAATGGGATTATTACTTTTCTTTAAAAAGAAAGCTTCTCCTTGTCTCACAATAGAATAATTCTTCTTGTCTCCTCCTCCACTCCCCAGTAAATAAATTCGAATTCTATCTCAGATTTAAAAGAGGTTAACTAGAAGGAAAGAGAGATAAGAAATGACTAAACTGAAGTGGAGGGGGTGAGGGGAGTGGGGGAGAGTGAGGTGGGTCTACCGAAATGAAATGTAGCTGAGTGGAAGACAATTAACAAAGGGAAAGACACTGCTGGAATAACTCTAAACCCTGAATTTTAATTACAGACTCTAGCAGCCTTTTAAACTCTTTAAAATTTGAGGCTGCTCTCAAGCAACTAAACTAACCAAAGGTTGAACTTCTTTCATGCGGTAATATAATTGCTCCTCCAGACTTTCAGTGAATCCAGTAGGATATTCCAGATAACTAAATTTAAACAATTTAAATTTTACTCATGGGAAACACACAAATTTCAGCATAATTTATATGCTTTTAACATTGCAGATCCCAAACTCGGTATCAGGTGCTGGGAGCAGTGCAGCACTTCACCAGGGTGCCTCGAAATGTCTTAAATTTTCAAGGGAAACTCGGTGATACTCAGCATCTGTCAGGTACCCATGAACTACTACCTGGAGTTAGTTCACAGTTTTAAGATTATATTTGGCTCTGCTCCTTTAGAGCCAGGGTCCTCAACCCTCGGGTCACTGACCGGTACCAGTCCATGGCCTGTTAGGAACCGGGCCACACAGCAGGAGGTGAGCAGTGGGCCAGTGAGTGAAGCTTCATCTGTATTTGCAGCCACTCCCAAGCGCTAGCATCACTGCCTCAGCTCCACCTCAGATCATCAGGCATTAGATTCTCATCGGAGTACCAGTCCCTAGTACCAAAAATGTTGGGGACTGCTGCTTTAGAGGACATCATGTCTTTGCAAAGCTGGGCAGAATGAAAATAAGTGTGAAATAGGAAATGAGGGTGGCAATATCCAATCTGATTCCAAGTCTTGGAAGTTCCCATTAGTAATTTGTTTACTAAGAATGACACAAATATATGTATATGTGATTCATGATGTATATTATTTTTTTAACTGGCTGCTAAGTTTTTAGGACACAAACAGTTATTTGAACCTACAACTTAAAAAAACAGAACTGTCAGGGTTTTTTTTCCCCCTTTTGTTTGTTTGTTTTTTGTCTAGGGGCACCAGGGGGAAAGTGACTAAGACACTACGGTCCAAAGATCTGAGAAAGTTTGGAAGTTTCTGTTCTAACATTTGCATGGATGTATAAATATGTGTCCTTGTCAGAAATAAGATATTTTGTGCAGTTGATTTTCCACATGTAGAATAGCTAATGCTGGGAAAGATATGGTTCTAGGAATTTGTATGTAAATATATGATTCGGAGCTGAAACTAACGCTCAGGAAGCAATGATATTCACTGATTAAAAAAAAAGAAAAAAGAACCCTTAAATATAGATAAGCTTCAGAGGGAAAGTGTGAAGTACAGAATACTGGAAGCTGGCCTTGTTTTACCATTTTTTTTTTTCCTTTTCTCTACATATACCCTACCTATTATATTGTGAGGATTCCTTAGGTCAAATACACTTTCTTACCAATCCTTAATATGTTTTATATACCAACTTTGTAGAACTATTTTGTTTATATAAAGCAAAAAAGGACGGATGGATGGATAGATAGATAGATGGATGGATTTTTTTTAAGGTCCTTCAGTTGGTTTAAAAGAAAGCTCTCCTATCATTTTTATTTTCATAATTTATATAGTGCTTTGGAGTACATCTGAATCAGCTACTAGATGATGTCAAAATATTTTAGCCTTATATTTTATTGATAAAGATAGATAGATTGCATTTTCCTATAACTTTTCTCTCATGGCTTATCCTGACTATATATGATGCTCCTTGAGCTAATTTCTTGGTACAAGAACAGCTGAATTGCCAATTAAAACTTACACTTTAACCAAAAGAATCATAACTACTAAGAGGCCACTCCTACATTACCATGCTTGTTGATCTGACGTAGACGTTGTTTTTCAGATGGCAGTTTCCATCATTTGGCACTACTATGCCTGCCAATTTGCTATCAAGAGCAAGATGAGATGTCTGATCTGTCATCACCAGCAGCAATCTTTTAGCTTCTTTTCGCCATCCAATATGACTCTTAAAATAAACATGTAATTAGACCTTGTACAATAACAGATCTGTACCGTGGTCTTTATCTCAAGTAAACGTTCAAGTTCACAAACATTAACTCAAGCTAGAATGATGTGCATAAACACAATGCTCTTTCATAGGTAGAATTAACTTTTATTTGTACATTCTCTGTTTTACGACAGCCATTTGATCACACTAGCTCCTGGCTACAGATTTCTAGTGTTTTCCCAGAGGAAGAACAAACCAGGTTTACGATGTGCAGAGCACCCAACGTGATGTGAGTGGGACAACAGGCTCTTTTTGGTTCTTTCTTGGATGGGAGTGAGTGAAAAGAGCAGCCCTTTTGGAAAGGATTTTCCAAGTGCATTAGTTATTCTTTCCCTTCTGTCTTTTCCTATTTATAACGCTCTCCCAATTTAGCTTCTCTGTCCTGAACATATACCAAATGAATAACATTAGTGACAAATAAGAGATAGAAGGATGTGTTCTTCTATGCTATGTTTTCACTCCATAAATTAAAGAGAACATAGAAATTCTTGGGGAATTTTGCATTGGAGCAAACACTCAATAATGTGAAACTTCTTACCTCACAAACAGCTGCCTGAAGCATAGCATCGAAACCTCCTTCTGGTGTGTCTATATTTCCAGAGATCTTCTGTCTGTGAACAGCCTTTTCAAACTCAGTGATGTTCTCTGTCAAAGACAGCACATGGATATATCCATGGGGAGGCATACAGTCTAAATTGTAGTCACTAAATGGGTAAAGAAGAAATGCAAATTTATTTTGCTATGCTTCCTTCAAAGATCCAAAATATTACTCATAGTAAAATTGCGTGGTTGGTGTGAAAAGGGAATACATTTGTGGTATTTTTGCCAAGGAAATTTTGTAAGAGAAAATCTGTACTTTATGAAATTAGAGAAAAGTTAAATATTGGTGAATATATCTTTGCAAGTAGGAAATAGAAATACAACAGTTTGGTGTTTGAAACAAGGAAGATTAAACATGTTTCTTTAACATAGGACATCTAAGAGCTTTTATTAAGCTAATGTGTAGTGTTATTTTTTAAAGAGGATATAAGAATTTGCAGTGATCCCTTTTACATTTGACCATGGAACAGCTGAAAAACACTTTTTGGGAAATGTTTTTTAGAAATTTAATTAAAATATACTGTTGTTAGAGTATTTAAAAATCTTTTGCTAATTTTTTAAGTGACGTTTGATGTGCAATTACTGATGAACAATCAGAGTTTATTAAAATTGTTTTGAGAACTCCCTGATGTTCCCAAAAGTGAGAATCTTTCCTCAGGTACATCCACATAGGAGAAGGCACATAATACTCCTTGAGGTGATATATCAGTCCTGTTCTGCTATAACCGACAGCAGAGTTGTTTTGGTAAATTAGAGTGTGTACTGTAAAGTGATCTGGGCAATTTATGATGGAAGTAGGAAAGAAGATGTTAAAAGTAAAGGCTTTGTTAAGGAAGAACTAAACACATCTCTCCCTCTCTCTCTGAAAATTCAACAGGCTAATTAGAATATTGTGGGAGAAACTTTTATTTTTAAGGTCAGTTCTTGTTTTGTAGTGGAGCATATGCCATTTAGAATCAGACTTCCAAAAAGCCCAAGAAAAAGGGCAGTTTCTAGCAGGCGAATTGTCGTCTTATGACCTACTCTCTATCTGCTAGTTGAGCTTTTTTTGAAGTCACATCATAAGCCACATAATTATAAACACAGTCACAAATACAGTAATGGAAATATAGTTGCAGTACTGGCAACATAAGTACTGTAAATTCAACAAACATTAATTCAGCAAATTCGAAGCAATCAAAAAGGTAAAACAATTTTCAAAGAGGTGTTTATATATATGGCAGCTTGATCATTGGAGGTTTGTCCAAAATTATTAGTATTATTTGTGCTTTTTTGTGAGAAAAACTAAGTGAAAAATATTTGAAAAATAGAAAATAAAAAATCTAAGCTATGAATAATCTCAGGAGTTTTCAGATAGGAACGTACTTCCCAAATATTTTCAGTTCCCATTTAATAAAACAAAAATATAAAATTTAGTAAGTCCTTTATATAAAAACGAAGTGAGATTTTATAAGAAAAAATTTTCATTTAGCATTATGAAGTCCACCTTCAGCACTGGATACCTGCATTGATTATGAATCCTTTCTGGGTGGATGCTGATATATGGTGAAACTGTTTTATCAACGTATGAGCCAAATCCAAGACGAAAGTCACGGGAGAAAAATGACATTTTTCTAGATAAATCATTTCCAACAGAATTTAATTTTTCAATATTATTGTGCATTGATGCTGAGACATCAACCAGATAATAAAGATCCACAGGATATTTCTTCAGAGGATGAATTTTCAGCATAAAATTAGCTTCAGCTCCTAGTTCAAAGAAAGACAGATATCATATAGTATTCAGTTTAGACATCTCAGGATAAGCTATCAATCAATCAGTTGCATTTTAGATATAGAACAATTATCATAAATTTGTACATAATGAAATTAGGAACATTCTAGAATAATTTTAAGGCAATTTGAAAACCATACAAATTTATTAGTTTCCAACTTCTACAATGAATTTCCCATGGTTCTATAGGGCAGATAGAGATAATACCAAATGCACCAGCTCAATATAAATATAGTAGGGAATATATTTATCACCATATGAACCTGTATTTCTACTATCTAGAAAAACACAGCACAAAACAGCAAGCAGCATTCTATCTCCAGAGAGAGTAGGTGGCTGTCTTTGTTAAGATGGCTTTTAAGTTTGAAGAAAACCAGAAAGGTATCTTAAGAAAAATTACCTCTTATTGGATGCAAATATAAATTCATTCTTTTGGGTTAAGGCATATTTATATATGAGATATGAAAGCTCTTACTGAGAAGTTCATTATGCTATTCAAAATAATTAGTAGCTCATCGTGAATTACTTGATAGGATTCTTCCCAGCAGTTAGTTGTGAGAAGTAATAAAACAGTGGTCAAAAGAATGGTACCCAGCAGTGCCATATTGAGGACCTGGGCAATGTAGGGAATAGCATTTCTCCAACCCTTGCTGGGTTCTCAATAAACATATGACGAAGAGGTATCACAGAGGCAAAGGAACTGCAGGAGAAGAGGGGGTCATCACAAGGAGAGTTGTGGGAGCCTCCCAAAGACAACTGTCTGTAATAAACTTTTATTTATTTATTTATGTCCATATGCATTTGATACAAGGTTCTGTATCCCTGTATACAAAGGATATGGCATCTTGCAGAGTTGGTAGCTCTATATTTTTTAAAAGTAGATGGTGAAGAGTTATCAATTTAAATACAGGAGATTTGTGAATTTTACTATTTTAAATAATAAAGCAAATGCTTTGTAAGTCATTATTTATTTATTCATGGAGAATTATTTGGAGTGGAAAAATTTTTAATAAACATAAATTTGCATACTTAATTGGTAGCCTGATCTGCCAATTAAAGGAATCTTCTAATTTATCAAATCATGTTTTATCTTAACGTGCTTATAAGTAGTAATATTTTCTTTTAAATTATTTGACAAATTAGATTTTTTTTAGCTAGATTACAGAATGTACTAAAAATAGTAAGTTTTTTCTGGTATGTAATAATAATTGTGGGAGATAGGAACTATTTACTCATTCTCACTTTGCCATTATATAGAGGAAGCCCCTTTATATAATGTAACACTCCTCAGTTTTTGGCCCACGAGTTTGGAAGGAAAAAATGGGCATGCGTCAGCAGGCCTACCAAGCTTTCTCACTCATTCCCTTTGGGAGCTGGGTTGCCTCCAGAAGTGTTCTACTTTCTGAGTATCTGGTGACAAGCCTTCCCACATGGAAGTATCCTGCAATTTAGGTAGAGAAACAATTCAGGAGAATGATAGAATCTGGTAGGAAGGGCTGGATTGATGAAAAACAGAAATGGCGCGTAACTGGAGAGTGTGGTTCATGAGGAGGAGCTTGAGCTTTAATGTGTGGGTCAGTATTTAACTTTTTTTTCTTTATAAATTGTGTAGTTTTTTAATCATTGAGAACTGGGTATATGGCTGAAGGCCTTAGGCACTGGCCACTTGGTATTTTCATCTTGATGTATCACTGCAGTTTATGGTGGCTTTGTCTAAAGATGAATGGCTGTCTGTTTTCAGAGTCATTGCAAAATGAACCAGTTAAGCATATCGTGCAGGTTGTTATATTGTTGGTTGGTTATTTCAGCCAACAGGCAGAATCTGTGAAGCATTAGCAAAAACACAGTCCTTGGAGGCCTAAGCTATTCAGGAAGTTCCAACTAAATGCTAACCACACAGGGGCCCTCAGCACACACCAGCTGCTCATAGCCTAGCAAGCACATCCTGGTCTCACTGAATTCGGCAAAGAAGAGGGCTAGAAGGACACCTTGCCAAATGGTCAGAGTTGGAGAGTGTAGGCTGCTGCAGCTTGATTTGGGGTTACACAGATGTTGGCATTAGCACATGTACCTGGGTCAGTTGAAGACCTCATCATGAGCTGCCACCTTGGTAAGACAAGTTTTCAATAAAGGAAAAAAGAGAATTTTTCCATATACAGGCCTTTTAGTCATTGCTGGAGAGAACAATAATCACCACTTTTAAACTGCAAGGCACTTGAGTTTCCTGTGAGGTTCTAGCTTTAGGTAGTCAGCTCAAGGTTGGCAGCCCTAGGTAGGTTGATCCCAAAGCCCACTGTGCTCTGTTAAGGAGGAAAGTGAACGAACGGGCAAGATTGGATTACCATATTTTTCCCATGAGCTTAGACACTCCCCACAATATACTGTCAAGTTGGCTTTGGATCGAATAATTATATAGGAGGGAGAAACTTTCTGTTGGAGGCAGTAGAAATTTTTTTTTCATGGACGCTTGAATACTATTTCCCTAGATAAAATCCCCATTCAGTTCATACTGGGGTGCCACCAACACAGGGCTCAAAGACCAGATGACATTAAAGAGGTTTTGAATATACTGGATGAGAAAGAAACACATCTAAAAGTGAGGCAGTATCTGGGGCCATCACCATTGTAAAGTTATCAATGAAAGCACTAATAACGTCTTAAATGCTACTCCAACAGAGAAGCTATGTGGGGGTGGGCCCTTTTAGTGGCTAAGAGCTACTAACCGAGGTAATCTACGTAAAATATTTACCACAGTATTTGGTAAACTATTTGGTAAATACATAGATGTTAGTAATTATTACCATTACTATTACTAGATTCTAAGCAACATCAGGATAAAAATTGTTTATTCATCTCTGAAGCCTCTAGGTTTGTTACATTCATAGCCACTCAATGTTAACTAGACTATATTTAAAGCGCATTTTTATATAGCATTTCAAAGGGCCTGCATGTTTATCACAGGAAGAAGCTAATATCTATGACTTCTTTCCCACAGATTTGGGGGAGCTTAAATAGTTTCGCTCTTTAAAAGGAAAAGAGTATCATCTGGCCCCAAAATATATATGCTCCATGTATATTTCCAGGAAAGCTTCATCCGCATACTTTTTGAGATTCTAAAGGTTTGGATTCTTGTTTCTTTCAATTAACTTCAAAGGGAGAGAAGTGAGTCTGTGACATAGAATAAGAAAGAGGACTTGGAGGAAAGTTGAGACCTACTTAGAGCTATTGCCAGTATTGGTTTGAATAGCCTAAAGAACTAAAAGTTGTTAGAATGACTTTGAATCACTCAAATAATGGTGTGAGCATCTCTGAAGAACTGGCTGCAACAAGCATGACTGGACATTAAGAAAAGATAATTTTAAAAAGTTTTGTAAATGTGTAGCAGGAAGAAAGATAAAACTGAAAATGTATAAAAGTGTGGCAGGAAGAAAGAGTAGCCAATTATTAATTATACTTTGGTGGAGTAGGAGAAAACTCAAATATGAGACTGGTTTGAAAAGCAAAGCACAGAAATTTCTGAGGTTTTGTGGAGGATAAAATGAAGGATATGTACCAGGGGTGTGGGGGAAAATGCATGCTTTCTGTATTTTGATTTTTTTAAATTGAATTTAGGAAAAATCATATACTGCCTGAAAAGTCTTACATTTTAAATTAAGCTACACTAAATTAAAGGACTTTACAACATTAAAATGAATCGAATTTGAAATATTTTCTTGAATTAGTTAAGTATAAATTATACTAATCCTTATCACATTCACTGTATAGTTCTGAAGCAGAATTGGATAACTTCTTTCTCTCTCCTGTCTTCCTAAAAATTTAATTTCAGTGCTCTTTTGGAACATCAACTAGGATCAGTAACCTGTTTCTGTTATTATTTTCCCATAAGATTGATAGGTAAAAGTAGAAAAAAAAAGTATAGTTTAAGAAATGAAAAGAAAATATCATTTTAAAATCTCATTTCAAATGTTTGATTATATATTTTATGTAGTCCTACTAACATTCTTTTAATAGTTTTAGTCAGTATATGATATAATAGAAATATCTATGAAAATTACTACTTTGAAGGTCATGAATTTTTATCAGAAAAGAATACAGTGATTATAACTAAATCAAATAAATCAAAATCAGTATTAGGGGATAAATACATTTTACACTTAGGTATGCATTATTTCAAACCCTCAACTCATATGTATCATGGTGGAAAAGACTTTTACATTATAAGGAGTGACGTTTCTATATATCTGGAGTTGATAAAATATAGCTTTGTATATTATGCCCCAGAGCTGGCATGTCTTTGATGCCATAATGCATTTTTTAGATGAACTTATTAAATCTAACTTAATAACTATTTGCTATATATACAGATTGTAAGATATAGTCTGTCATAGCTATGTCATAAAGATGACTTACACACATTAGACGATTATACTAATTTGCATTCAGAAATTCATATAGTTGTGAGAAATTGAATAAAATCAAGCCCCATAATGATTGACACAGACATTAAGCATTTCTCCTTTCGCTCTCCTACTACCTGTGATCTCATCCCCGGTCTCCATCTCCAACTTGTGTCTTCCCCCTGAACTTCAGCCTCTTGTAGATAAGTCACTACCTCAGCTCAAGCAGTCTCAGCTTGAATTCAATATCACCCCTTCCTAAGAGGGCAGCCTTCTCCATCACATAGTTGCTTGAACCAGAGCTCACATGTTCCTCTGAGGATGCTGCTTCCCCATTATCTCCCAAGTCTGTCCATTTTTCTCCTCCCCCATTACCACTGCTGTCATTACTATCATTACTATCATTGTGGAAACAGCAGTGAAACAGTTTTTAACCTTTGAACTGTTACTGTCTCAGGAGGATTCAGCCACCGGTGTATCTACAAAAGGGAATAAGCTAAATTCATTTAAGCATATAAATTTAATTGTAACGTACCAGTAAGAAAAACTGCACTGTGTAATTTTTAAATCTTCAAGTATTTAAAAAAGAGCAAGACAATTTTAAAGGCTTCAGTCATGTTTATTAGAGGCAAATAATATTATAAGCTTCATGTGTACTTAACCTCTTATATCTTTATTACATTTTTTAGGGTCCTCCCTCTTCTTGAGTCAATTTTAGTCATATATTTTCCTATAAATTATCTATAGTATCAAGATTTATACATTTTACCATAGAATTTTGAATTTAATATTTTCTTAAAGTCTTTTTTTCCCAATATTTGTTTCTTTGGTTATAGTCTATATAATTAGGTTATTCATGGGTTTTTTTTTGTCCTCTTAATTAAATTTGTCAATAACATCATTTTATTGGGCTTTATAAAGAACCAGTTTTTGGATTTATGCATTCGTTTTACTTTTTATTCCTATTTTGCATTTCATTAATTTTTTTTCTTAACTTATGAATTCTTTCCTCTTGTTTTCCTTATGGTAATTATGTTTTTGTTGCTTCTATGTCTTTATTTGGATGCTTAGTTAATTTTTCTTCATTCTTCTTCAATAATAAAAATATTTAAAGTTTTGAATTTTCCTGAGTAACTTCAGTCACGTCCATATATTTTGATGTGTGTTGTTGTTATTTTTGTTAATAAATAGTCTGTTACTAGAATTGTGACTTATTCTTGGAGATAGAATTTATTTAGGAGAAGCTTTTCTTCATTTCTGTTATTAAATATTTGTTTATCTTCTCATATTGATTTAAAATTTTATTGCACAGTGTTCAGAGATATCCACCTATAAAAACAGTATTGCCTTTTAGAATTCAGTTTTCTTGTCTAAAATATGATTAATTTCTGAAAATATTTCATGGCCTTTGAAAATATTATTTTATATATCAAGTGCTGTGGACTAAATTATGTCTCTTCCCTTCCCAGTTTATATCTTGAAGACCTGGCACACAATGTGATAGTGTTTGGAGATGGAGCCTTTGGGAGATGATTTGGTTTAGATGAGGTTATGAGGGTGGGGCCCTCAGGATGGGATTAATGCCCTTATAAAAAGAGACACTGAGAGCCTTTTCTCTGTCTTTGTCTCTCTTTCTCTCTGTCACTCTCTCTTCTTCTCCAGGAACTGAACTGGCTAGCACCTTGATCTGGACTTCTCAACCTCCAGACTGTGAGAAAATAAATTTCTGTTGTTTAAGCTACCTAGTATATGGCATTTTGTTATGGCAACAACAGAAGGTGGCAAGTGCCATAACCTTACCAATCTCATTACTTTCATTTCCAACTGTTCTTCATATATGTCATCCTGTGCTTGACAGTTGTTTTATATGGTGAAGAGCACAATTTTAATTGGAAGCTGGGAATATGCCTTGGGCCAAGAAAGAAATGGTCTTTGTTTATCTGATAATCCAAGATTGTCCAAGAAATAGTTCAGCTATGGGATATAGGGAGGTCATGTGTCAATAATGGTTATTTAAAAATTGAATGATAAGACAAGACCACCCAGATGAAATAATGAAGGCTTGAAGACAATTGCATATCACTTAAAACTAAATGAATGTAATTGAGTGATACATACCTGTATACCTAAACTTATCTTGCCATATGTAGTTTGTACACTGGGATTCTCTAGCACTAGAGAAAATGAATAATTTCTAGTGGCCTACTACATGTGCCAAACTCTGGAATATAATGTGATGGAAGGGCAAGTACAAGAGAAATATAGGAGGAAAAGTGTATGTTAATCTCAGGAGCCATCACAAAGCAGCTCAAGTTAATTATGACAATTATGAATTGTAGTTTTGTGTCTAGAGGTTCATCACAAAAGCTCTAAGGACTTAGCTTAATTCACATCTTTTACTAATTATTCAACCCTTAAATTCAACAAATACTTATGGAAGGCTTACTACATGCCAGCACTCTGCTAGGCATTGGAGAAACAGAGTGGAATAAAGTACGTTTTCTTTCTTCCAAAGCTGGCAGTAGAGTAGGAACACAACTATACTACAACGTGATCAAGTCTGGAAACACATTACTATTATATAGTGTGGTCAGATTTGTAGAGTGTTCGAGGCCACACAGCTAGCAAGCTATAGACACAATAAAGACTAGAATTCTAATTTCTTGATTCTGAGCCCACTGTTATTTTTACAACAACAATACTGCCTGCCCCAAAATATTAAATATGAGCAAATAAAACTAAATGTCATTTGAAATTAAGAATCATCGCAAATTTATTTGGAAATCACCAAACCTGGACGAAGCTGGATCAACACTTCTCCTGGTGTCACCTGGGTATTAATTTCATTTTCACTTGGTATTACGTGCACCGATGGGTATTCTATTGAATCAGTCGAGCAGCCTTTACTTATTAAATTGGAAACAATATCACAACGTTCACTCCTTGATCCACCTGAAATGAAATCCTGTTTAAAAGAAGGAAAATCACTGACATTTTTAGTGCATATCACCTCAATTATAACGACAGAATACCACATAACAAATATTGCAAAGAAGCCATCTTTTAATATTGCCCAAACTACGCAACTACTCAAAATAGCTTCATATTTCCAATAAGAGTTCTGGCAAGTTTGTCTTATTAAATAAAGCTTTAATTTTTAAATCTTATTTAAAAAGAAGAAAATGAATATTAAAGAGGAGACTTAAACTAAGTACTTTAAATATTGTTAACTGATCACTGTAAAATTATACCAACTTAATTCTTTCTAAATATTTTACTTTGGGAAGACTGCTCCAAAAGAAAATTTAGCCAAAATAGACCAATCAGTGGTTCCAAAAGTAACCCTTAGTTCTCAAAGAATTCAACTGGTATGTTTATTATATACTATTATGTTTGGAATATGGGAGCAAATCCTCAGAAGTCACATGCCTAATTAGGTGCAGAAAATTCATAAAAGAATGAATTGGAAACATACATTTCTTAGACTGTAAAATCCTCCAATGTCTTATACACACAACAGCCTGTAAATAATTTAGTAAACCAAGGAAGTTGCTCATAATGAGGCAGGGAGATAGAAGATGGCAACTCATTCTCCTGATTTTCTAACTGAATCTGGAACTTTCATTACCATTCACCATTGGCTAGTTGATGGTTATCCAATAGCCATCCAATATACTTAGAAATAATGGAGCAAGCTTAAAATTTATCTTGATTGAGAAAAATATTAATATTTTTATTCTTCATGTAACCATTTTTTTCCCTAAGAACAGGAAATGTATTGAAAAGTCTGGAGTATGTTTTATTATATATAATGTTGGCCTGAATTATTTGGAATATCTGCTTACACATTAGCTAGATACTTCAGTGATCTTCCTGGCTGTTTTGATCTGGCATTCAGTCATTCCTCTTTTAGTTCAGCTGATTCAGAGAATCGTGTTTCTAGTCAATTAATTATTCAGTCAAAGAATGTTGATTGAAAACTTACTCAGAGACAGAAGTTTGTTAGGTGCTGAGGGTACAAAATGGAACAAGACTGATAAAAGTTCTTGTTATCAAAGAGTGAATAGACCAGTGGTGAATTCAGCCATTAAGCAAGTAAATATAATTATCATGGGCGTTAATTTAGGGGAAATACAGAATGTCACAGGGTTGTGGAGAAAAGAGATTATCAAGTGTAATGTTAGTTAAATATGAGATCACTAATTATGAACAGGGACATTCCTGGCAGTGGTGAGTAAGTAGATGGGACAGTGATAGGCAATATATAAACATTCATTCAAGGATGTTAATTTAATTCCTATCTCAAATTAGAACAAGGGTTGGAAAACGAGGAACAGTGGGATAAATACAACCCATAGTCTGGTTTTTTTTGGCTTGAGTGCTAAAAATTTTTTTTTATTTTTAAAATGCTGTAAAACAATAAAAAAGATGAATATACAACAGAGACAATATGTGGCCCACAAAACTTAAAAAAAATTTACTATGTGACTCTGCAGTACTGATCCTGACTTTGATTGTGGAGCATTCTTGTAATATAAATATAATTAAAAGACAAAGAGAATATTTTCTTTACAGTCAAGGTTTCGAGGTGTCATTTGGCAAATGACTTCATGGAAACAGAAACATTCGATTTGCTTTGCTATTGACCATACACCTAGATTTTGCCTAAAGTTTAAAACGTTCAAATCTTTAATTTCTTGTATCCAAATGTATCGTATCTATTGATAAAATGTCAAGGTACCGAATGTGAGATTTGGTTTATAAACAACTTGGAGGTCTTCAGAAAAAGGTGGCATAGACTGCTATCAGATGTGTAACTTTCTTTCGGAAAGCCTCAGGCTAGGTTGGGGGGAAGATCTCGCTTGTCCCAGAGCCTGGGGAATATTGAGGGTGCGTAACGCTTGGTACATGTGTGCTCATCCATGCCTCACATGACAGGACAGAGACCAAGGGCCACATGTGTTTTACAAATGTAAAAACTCCAAGCCTTCAAGTCAGGAAAGCAATAAAGTACAAATAATTCTGAGTTTTCTTTATAGTCAGAGATTTTGTGATTTGTATATATAAAAAGGAAAAGAAAGGACTATGGTAAATTTACTGTGACTGTACATCAGGCTATGTCATTTGACCCGTAAATGTCAAATCATTTTGCTAAAATAGGCAAAGTAGTCTCAATTATTTTGTAATGTCTGAATCAGCACACTATTCTACACCTGAAGCTAATATGCCAAATTTAATAATTTAAAAAAATTTTAAAAAGGGGATGGGATGTTGTTTGCATTTTTAAATGGGATAGTCAGATGCCATCTGAACAAAACTGTAAAGGCTCGGTCAGTGAACTACAGGGACTTCTGCAGGGAAAAAAAATCACGCAGAGAGGGAACATACTGTGTAAGTGCCCCCAGGCAGAAAGAAGTATGCCTCGCTTGGGCAGGGAACAATAAGGAGGCAAGTGTAGAGGCCAGAAATAATAATAAGTAGTGAACTGCTGTTGAAAAAAAAAAAGAAACTAAGAAAAACACTGCCAATTTGACAATTCGATTTGAAAAGAGAAGAAAAGACCATGGCATCAAAACAAGGAATGGAATGCTGCCCCCACCCACTGTGGCTTCCTTTCCACTTCGTATAAAAGAAAAGAATTCGATGCCACACCCTTTTAATCTTTGGAATTTGATGTCATTTTAATTTCTTCTAATCTTATGTTTTACTTTTTCTTCAAGAAACACTCAAGCGAATTCATACTTCAGTCGTCTGCATCTAAAACCTATTTAGAATGAATAGCCCAGGTCGAAGTTCCTGTGGTTGGCTTTCTGTCACTTGTTACTTTTACCTGTTTAATATAATAACCTGGAGAGATAAGAAAAGTGTTTTCTCCTACTCGTTTCTGAGTCCTTCTGACTTTCAAATTCGGCAATCTGCATGGAAATGAAAGAATTCTGTCATCTTCCTTTTGACAGTGAATGCCTTTTGCATCATATTTTGTTTAGTGTAATTATGCTCCAAGACTGCTCTCTAACTTCTTGCTATGCAATCACAACCTGTACCTGACATATCAGACAGAAGAGGAAGAGAAACTTGTCAAGTCTTTCATATACGGTAAAGGGGACATGAGGCATTAAACTAGGTAATATCAATGAGATTCTGTCTATCTTAAATATTTTTAAATTACTTTTATGTAGCATGGAGAGAAAAAGAAGGTAAAATATATAAAACGACAGATTAACATGCTTTACAAGAATGTAGGAAAATTGAGTATACCTTGTGTAAATTTTCTAACAATCTTTTACTTTTGACCAGCTTTGAAAATTACATAAACCAGACATAATTTGTTACCGTTTACCTCCTCTAATTGTGAACAGAGGAAAACTGCATCTTTCCTTGACCCTTGCTAGTTGAGAAGTAAAAGACATCAGTTACATATGCCTAAGTAAGTGGTGGGCGATCTTTCAAAATCGACCATTACGTTCTTCCTCTCGATGATGTCAGGTCAGCTTGTAGGATGTGGACAGCTCTTTCTGTGAATAATAGGGTAGTGACTTGGCCCTAACACTGGTTCTTTCCCCTGAGGTTATATTCTTAACACAGGCAATTCTCGGAGTTTCCCAAGCCTGAATGAATTTTTCTAGCTTTCGTGGAAGTTCTTATAGTAACAACTCCCATTTTCTTAAGTAATGCCTGTGTCCAAATTGCTTCCCACATACTGTTTCACTTAATCTTCACAACAGAGCATCATAGCTACAATTATTATTTCCATTTTAGATCTAGGGAAAACTGAGGTTCAGAATGGGTTATGTTAACATGTCCACATTTATACAGTTAGAAACTGAACTGAGATTTGAATCCAAGCTGATCTCATGTCAGAGCCTACTTTTGCAGCACATAAATTAGACCACCTTGCACTACACAGAATATTTTGGGACTTGAACATCCAAGTCATTTCTGAATATTTTCTAAGATCCCTTAAGGAGGATTTGACCAATAGCAGACAAGTTGGCCTTCTCTAAGCAGGCAGTCACCTCACCTTTCCCCCTTGGCTTACTTCCTTCTATTTGACCAGCCATTCCCCTGAACACTCAAAATCCTTCCTCCAATGGCAGGACAGACATTGTAACTCCTGTTAACTGTGACTCTCCAGACTTTCTGTGCCAGCAGAGGTTTGAGATGGAGGAGAGGTCCCTCTGGAACCTGACATTCTATATGGCCAGCATATTGCATTTAGTGGACAATTGGGTTTCTGAACCATCTTTTGAAAGTTCTCTAAACTACACTCACTAAAATTCTTAGCAACTAATGTCAAGTTGGCACAAACTTCACAACTCTAAGGATCTTCCTCAGTGATGCAGGAAAAATCTAAAGTGGATTACTAGGGAAGGGTCAGAAAATTTCAAGCTGTGAAACATTCTTGACAAAGAAAAATCTGGCAGTAAGCTCCAAACTCAAGGTTATAGAGATGAGGCTCAAAGAACTGAGTGAATTCTGTCTTGTCATTTGGCTCATAGGAAGTAGAAGTGATGAGATTGGTCCCAGAAACTCTGGAATTATCCTCTCTATAACATTGCTTAACTCCATGGCTTCTCACGAGGCACTGCTTAGTTTTGAGTGACATCTGATTTTCTCACTCTGAAAGCCCATTGTATATTAATGGAGGCTTCAGGCTGTCAGTAGGAGGGATGCTTACTTTGAGACCTGGCTGGCTACAAAACTTTCCCCTGTCTCTTAACTCACTTTCTTTATAGAAGAAAGTAATGTTCACCATCTTTTGCTATATTCCAGCTTTCTTTTTCCTCCTGAGGGATGCATAAGGGCAAGCAGTAACAAAAAGTTAGAGATGTTTCTTTACGTCAGGCAAAAAGCCATTAAAGATCTATTTGTTCCAATTCTCAGAGACTACATAAATAAATATAAAATTACCTAGGTAATCTCCTAAAAGAAACTCCAAATTAGTAGATGGTTTCTTTGTCATAAATTATATAAAGTAGTTCTGATCGAAGATTACCACCACCAAAACAATACTCACAAGACAACTTTAGAGCCAAGAAAGAAGGAATGCATCATAATTGTTTTACTAAAGTTTGTTATTGGGATATGTTTCTCTTGTTAGAATATAAAAACACTGTTTCAACAATAAACATTTTCTGAATTATTCTCCATTCCACAGAATTTAAATGTATACATAGCCCATGAAGAGGGTCACGTGTCAAAAGAAAAGCACCCCATTTTCCATAAGTAACCAGTGAATTGATGTACAGTGTTATGAAATGGAGTAAATCACTTTTCTCCAAGTATTTCAAATAAAAAAGAATGAAACACCAATAAATTAGCTTGCTTTTCTTTAATAAGCGAGTAAATACAAGACAAGGATCCAACTTGGATATATAACCGAATGCCCCAAGCTGCAACAAAAATTTCATACAAAGCCTACTGACCTAGCACATTTATTATGTGTTTGCCAATTTTCTCTATAGAACAGATGGAAAACATAAAGTGGTTTGCACTTCATTTCAAAATTACCATAATTTTCCTAATAAAAATGTTACATTTTATAGTCATCCAGATATGCTGTTTCCAAGCATAAAACCAAATAAAATTTCCCTGATGCTCATCAGTATCTTTCTTTTTCCTTATGTACCTTCAAGGCACAGAATATTAGGGCAATGAAATTATGCTAGAGAGCATGTCAACTGTGAGAAAAAGAGAAAAGAGCAAAAAAAAAAAAAAGAAAGAAAAAGAAAAAAGAAAAGAAAAACAAAGAAAAAGAAAAAAGAAAAGAAAAACAAAGAAAAAGACACACCTCTTGAGCACACCATCCACATTCTGGACCCAGAGCAAGGCACCTGGTGCAGGACGCTGCATTTGAAGATGCACATCTATTGTTTTCTGCAATGAAGGATAAAATAAGGCGTTATGGTTTATTCTCCTATTGGAAGTATATACAGTTCTAGCCTAAAATGTATTTTAAAGCTGAAATAAACTGACCAACGGTTTTAAGTACATGACATCAAAAAATATATAATTTCTTTGGGGAGGATTTACCTGCTTACTGCAATTAATAGGGGCCACATTTCCTGGATAGTTATTGTTTGGTTATTTATAAAGGTTTGGGGAAATGAGGGTGGTAAAAATGTGATTTTAGTTAAGTTTTGGGGTTTGGATGGAATTCTGCTGCAGTAGTAGAGGACCCTCCAAGTTTTTTAGTGTGCTGAAGTTTCACTGTATTTCATATTATCTGAACCAATGAGGTGTTTTTGGATCTAGAATTTTTCCTGTAAAAATAATCATATGCAGACCTCAGTCTCAACATGTAAATCTATGTTGAGTTATAGTGAATGAATTTTCTGAGAAATAATCTTGATGGACATATAGTGTAATTAACCTGTGTTAATACTGATTATTTTGTCTTGAAGAATATCAGAACCAGATATAATGGTATGATTCACTATTTTAAAGGTACAATGGTTAAAATGGATGAGTTGTTTTAGTTAATCTAATTTCATTTCTCTGCTGGATCACTTTAAGATCATGACCAGTTGACTTTTCCATAGATACCCACACTTGGCTGTGACATTTTAACATAGTTGTGCCTGGAAACTTTACCTTTATTTCTCTAGCCTCTAACTACTTATACCGTTAAAAAGAGGCTCATCATTAGAGACTTACACACATAAAATAAGATAAACGGTGTGTTGTAAATTATTTTATTATGAGTTTTAAGTGGAACGATCACATGCTTTCTATATTCTTCCTATATTCCATACTTTACTATATACTATGAAATGTCCCAAGGACACTGGAAAGCACAGCGTTCTATCCAGCTCGCTTACAGGCACACAGTATATATACATAGACACCTGGCTGTAAGTAGCTCACAGTCCAGGTGAGAAGAGAACTATGTAAGCAAACAATAAAATACAGTGTTATAACGAAGCATAATAAGAGAGCTATCACCAAGGAACTATGGGAACGTAAGGAGGAACTTCTCATTCTGCTGGAGGGCAGGGGGTCGGAGGGAGGGGAAGATGGCATGTTAAAAGATGGCTCCCTCGAGGCAGTCAGTCTAGTATGTCTCTGCCATTTCATTTTGTTTCTTCTGACCTCTGTTTCTCTCTTTTAAAAAATGTAATAGGCATGAAAGAAGAGCATGTGTGTGCATAATCACACATGGACATGGTAGTTTGAAATGAGGTACAGCCTGCAAAATCTCTAGCTGTGCTCATTCAATTGGTTTTTCTTTTCCTTCTCTCTGAACTTGCCCCAACATTCTAGACACAGGGTTAAAACAGCTCTGATCTAGAAGAGTGGCATGGGGTGGGGTTTGGCAGTGGGGAAATAAAAGAGAGGAACTGTAGGAGATTAATCATAGCAGAAAGGTGCTAAGTGAGGTGGTAGTGAGCACTCTTCCCTGTATTTCCCAACACCAGTGAGTTCAGCTGAAAGTATCCTTCCCTAACATCCCTGCTGTTCTGTTATCTCTTCTCTGTGTCCTCTTGTGCCCTCTGTCCTTGCTTTATATCAACTTTTAAAATACATTATTCATAACTTCTTCACTAATCTAGATGCAGTGGCCTAGAATTTTTTCATTGGCCTGAATTCCATGGACTAAAAATAGCTAACGTTTTGGGCTCCCTTTACTACTAACGTGGTCATCTAACCATGAAGACACTATAGCCTAAAAACCTTCCATCTTGCTTAGGCTGCAAAACTGTAAAACGTGCTTATTCCTAAAGTATTCAGAAGAGAGAGAGTGACCTTTTCAGTTTTGTTCCCAGAAAGAAAACCAATTTAGTTCTAGAAGTCAAGCACATTTGCAGGCCAAACTTGACCTTTACCGACTCTTAAACTTGACCCATCTGGAACATGGAATTAAGTTTATTACAGATAGGACTTGACCAAGCCTTTTACTGAATAAGTAGGACTTTTGCTCTGGCAGTTAAGATTGCATTCTCATGGAAGCAAAGGAGGCGATTCTATGACTCTGGTCTTTGTTTCTAATGATTTTCTGACTTTGTCCTAAGTTAACCCAGATTCAAGTTCAAGTCAGGCTCCTACTTCCATAGCACATGTGGTAAATCCTGAATCTACAAGGAAAAATCTGTTTTCTTTATATTCTACTTTCTGATTGTTTTATTTAAAAAGTCCTATTGCCAACCTCTTTTCTCAAGCTTCAGACACCTAAAGAGGATGACGGAGAGGGATAGAAACTTTGGTTCTGTCAGTACTGCCCAGGTTCCAAGGCTGGCATTTCTGAGTCTCCATAACTACAGGAAAAATGTTCCCATAAATAGATATGTAAGAGGTGGGCTTATGGTTCTCCAGAACTGGAGGAAGGCCATAAATTGAACTCCATGGGAATAGTGTCAAACATTATTGCTGGAGAGTGTCATGGTTAGACTTTACAGAAGATAAGCCAGATACACTTTGGTAAGCAGAACTTTAAGGATTTTAATTTTAAATCATGCAAGTAAGTACCTAACACGAAAATATCACACCAATGATAGCAATTCTTTAAATGGCCATGCTACTATGGGGGTTACTTGTCACTCTGTGTTAGTAGTGTGTGTGTGTGTGTGTGTGTGTGTGTGTGTGTGTGTGGTGTCTGTCTGTCTGTCTTTCACACACACACACTTCTGTGGAAATAGAAATCCCTACACTGTACATACATCAATGCATGACTCCTGCTTACCGACAGGGGTGGTTTGTCATCAGCCCCTGGGTCTACTCTGTTCATTCGCATCCCTGATGCAGCATTGCAGGAAGGCTGCTTTCCAGAGGTGGTTTCCTAGCAGCCCTCAGTGCTGACACCTCATTAGCAGTTGTGCCTGAGTGGTTCTTCCCTTCATGATAGTGGTAGCTGCTTTCCAGCTATTTTTCCAGTGATGTGGCATTAAACACCTTGTTCTTTATGTTCTAGCACTGCATTTTTATTAAGGATAGTTTTTGTGGGTCCTAATATAAATCTTTAAGCCAATGGAAGCAGAATGATAATATTATAAACCACATATTCTCAGAACTCTATTTTGTACCAATTTCTTTACTCCTAAGTGCCTCACAAACCCCATGTCATTGAAAAAATGTGCTGCCATGATTGAAATAAGTAGAGGATTTCACATCATATTGTCAATAAGTGTGTCTATTATGAACAATTCTGTTACTTGATCTATGATCATGGGCTGAGAGTCTTATTTTTTTCTCAGTTTCTTACAACTGGAGGTAACAGACGTGATGAAGTAACATTGTAAACAGTTCCTGGGAACAAAGTTCTAAATTTTCATAGCACCGTTCCATGGTAGCTAGATGCCCTTGGGCTTGTTACCTAAATTCTCTTAGGTTCCATTTCCTCCACTGTAACACAGTGTTAACTATATTTCTATATCAAAATACTGATATGAGATGAAATAAGCAAGTATAAGCATGCCGAGCATAGTGCTTAGGGTATAGTAGGCACTCAGAAAAGGGACTGTTGTAATGTTGTTATAATTAATACTATGTTATATGTATATATATAAACATGTATATATGTATATATACATATGTATTTAATTCCAGCTTTTTTTTTTTTAAAAAAAGGAAGGTATTATATGTCTTTAAATTTGTTGTAAATGTAATTTGTCTTTAAAATGAAGCTCTCTTAGGTCACAAAGGCAAAGTTTTCAAAATATAGCTAATATATAAAAATAACTATTAAGTTAAAAGTTATTGTATTTATTTTAGCTATTTAAAAATTATTCTTAAAAGCAAATATAGTCAATTATGCACACATCAGTCCAATCTATTACAAATACAATTTTGGCATGACTAGAATTGGATTTCTGAAAATCTCTTAGAACACCTTCATGTTGTTTATATTTTGCAAAGTGAACACTGACTTAATCTGAATAACTTTTGAATTATTTCCCAGAATTAAATGTTTATGACGCATGTGAACTGACCTCTATAACTGTCTGTCATGAAGTATAATAAATATCCATTATTAACAGGATAGAGTACACAGAAATCAGGAAACTACATATTCATGACATTCACTTAGGTATTCTTTGTTTTAGACGATGTGTTTATTCATATCCTTTTGAGAATGTTTAATCTATAGAAGTGAAAGGAGAAAGAAAATGGACCCCTCAAAAAATTAAAAACCTCCAGAAGAAGATTCATTGTTTAGACTAAGATCTTTCCATAAATCAAGTAATCAGATCAAGTGAAAGTTTTAGAAAACATTTTTTAATGTTTTTCTAGTCTAAAGTATATGCCACAAAGTTTCAATAGACTTTAAAGGATGTCCATGGTTATCTAAAAGAAGGAACAACTAAAACTTAAAAACCGTAGTGTTTAATAGTGAGTATCAATCTTTCTAGATTCTCCTGTTTCTCCTAGACAAAATGATTTGTGAAAAATGCAAAAATACATTTTTTTCCAAGCAGTATCCTTTTCCTAATTGCATTTACTATACAAATTAAATTAAATTTGGATAATTATAAAAGCCACTTCCATTTTAAAAAATAACAAAGTAAACACTGTTATAACAAGTATATATTCTACTTTGATAACAGTCAAAACTAGGCGATTTGAGCACACATAGAATAGTTTGGAATAACTTTGGGGTTTCCTTTTTCTAGATGTGTATCATGGTTATGTGATGTTGCAGGTATGTTCAAAATACATTACCTGATTATTGAGAGCTCTCTTTTACACAGAAACTTAATACGTGCTATCATTTGATATAAAAATCAAAATGAAGAAATAGATTAGTATTCTAATCACTTGCCATTACCTAGTTATTCCAAGTTTTGATTTAGGAACTGTTTCTTAAAAGCCCTTACAAAAAATATAGGGAGAAAACATGTGGTTGGAGCTACTTCTTGGAAAAGCTGGCACAGGAAGGAAAC